AATGGATCTTTCTGCGTCTATTCTGTAGAACAATCTTTTCTTTGCTTTTTTGACAAGGATATTAAATTTGTATGTATATGAGATACGATGTCAAATATTATTAGGAGTGCAACAAATCTAGAACAGATTTGGGAGCAACAGCCGTGGAATTTGATTTGAACTTAGACTTAGATTTAGATCTGGTCTCAAATTCCAAAATCATTTTCTGGCTGTGCTGCATCCTCATTTGAGACCAAATCCCAATCTAATCTCACATTCAAATCAAATAATACAAAATCCCAAGGCTTTGAATTTGTCGCACTTCTAAATATCATGCACTTCTATTGATACAAAAATCATTTACATAAATCATGTTAATAAACCTTATGACATGTTTTCTAAAAGAAATAAAATGCAAACTAAAACAGATACTTGACATCTGTAAGGTGGACAAAATTTAATAAAACAAATATAAATATACAGAATTCAGAATGTAACCATTATAAACAAACGAACAACGAGAAAAGATAAATTTTTTTATTGCTTTTTCTTGAATTACTCAGAAGAACAAATAAAAAATGTTGTCAAGTTGACTTAGTAATAAATGTGTTCGTCCTTATGTAAATATTAATGAAGATGACCTAAACAATCTTTCCACTGAAGCATTGGTTGCCAGTATGACATGCACTCTTCTACCTACTATTGATAATAAAGGAAAATCAGGAGCAGTTTCACTACTAGATCAGAACTTCATTATTTCATGATCAATGAGGCGACTTAAGTATCCTGTAAGACTCAAATATTATTCTTCACGCCCTATTCATCATTGTAGGACCAGTATAAGATAAAATAGGTTATCTATAGGGCAGGGCATACAGGACACGTATTCTGCAACGCTCTCTGATACGACTTTCATAGACAGTAGTTTATGGATAAAACATTTTTCATAATGACAAATTTAAAATAATATATCAATATAAAATCGATCAAGTATTCGATATGAAATTTTACAAATATTATAAATATAAATTTGAGAGAATTAATGAAGATATAGTCTGATATCAAAATACTCTCTGAATTTGTATCCCTACCCACAAGTGAATAGAGCATTATCAATATTATCAAATTTCTTCAAAATAGTAAGTAATATCTCCTTAGATAGCGTCATGCTTCAATTCTACAGAGTATCCCTTATGTAGATATTATTATCTACGTATATTCTTTTCTTGTTTTTTTGAGTTCTATCATCACTAAAAACCAACGGATTATCTTTTCCAACATAAATGTGAAATGAATTTGAAATCTGGTTTGATCCTAAATGAATAATATTCTTTTGTCGATGATTTCTGGCATGTTTATCGTTGTAAAAATGTGTTTATCTATCCTGAAATAAAAAAAAAGGAAGCCAAGGTCACAAAAACATGAGGAAATACTTAACATACAGATATTAGATAAATGATATTCAGATAAGACTGTATATGAGGTACTATAAAAAGTAACATCTGTCTTGAAATTAAAAACCGTTGGATGACGATAATCTTTTTATTATTAATACTGTTCGAAAGTCATCTATCATTACATACAAATCCTTTTTAATATAAATCAAGTTCTTGAATGATTATGTTAATGATAATCAAACTTCTAATTACACATAATTCTAATTTTATTAAAATCTATATTATTTTTCTGCTGCATAAATACTCATCATAAAATTGAATCTGCTATTACTTCAATAGTATGTAATAAAGGAAAAAAAACTAGTGGACGATTCTTGAAGTTTTGTTTGATGATGGATGATAAGAAAAAAAAACGTGTGTGACATTTGAAGGTAAGTGCATTTTTGAGGAGAGAAAAAAAACAGATATCAAATAATCTGAAACAATCAATTTGTTATTTCGGTAATCGTACATATCTATTTAGAATCTATGCGCATCAAGAAACCGTTCTATAAGGCATAATTTGTATTTTTTTTTCGAACCAAATGATATCTGGATTAAAATCTTTAATGTCACAAAAAAACAAAAAGATCAGTAGAAAATGACGACTTGAGGAAAGAAAGAAAGAAACATAATGTGAATCGTTGTATGAGATTGAGCTAAAGCAAAACTTAGATCGATTGATATTAATTGTAATAATTGTTAAAAATCTTTTTCATATATGATGAATTGACAAAACTATTGTCTTTGTATGAACATTATCACAAACATAATAAATTATGTATGCATTCATTTTTATATTTGCTTTTATGCATAATTAGCTCAAGTTAAAATATAATTTACTTTATAGAATAAATTTGAAAAAGACTTTTTCAAAAGAAGTAGTAGGCGATTTTAATATTCTATGTAATAGAATGTTTATTGAATAAAAAAAAATATGAGATGAGAATGAAACAGTGTAAATTATTTAACAGTGATATAATTTTATCGAAGAAGTGTGAAAATAATACATTTACATGTATATAAAATCAATTGATTGTTGAAAATGTATTTAAAAAGCTCCCAAAAGATGTATTATATGAGTCAGCAAAAATCTAAAACAAGACACTTGTAGGTTTTACTAGACATCATTATATTTAAATTAACAGAACATTTGATGAAATATTGCAATAAATTGTAGGTTAATAGGACAAATTTATTGAGTTTTATCCTGTATAAATTTTGTTTTTCTTTTCAGATTTTAGTGAAATATCTATCATCGAAAGATAAATCTAGAGATGTCTATGAAATCAAAATTTCTAATAAATTTTTTTTTACCAAATTAGCTTAACATATCTATCTATTGAATGAATAGACTTTATTAGCATACGAGGTGTAAGAATATAATAGAACAATAGTACAAAATTATTATGGTTTATAATTAGCATAATTTATTCTTATCCTATTTTTGTCATGTAATATCATCAGTTGATACAATCATTATCACCCAGCACGTTTCCCACATGAATTTATTGTTGTAAATGCGTAATACTAAAGATTTAGACTATGCATTAGTAACCATGTTAGAGTTATGTACTAAATCAGCAAGTATATTTAATAAATCAATGTTTAGGAATCAATGAAAATAATTAAATACAAACAAAAACGTTTACTACATGTTTTTTTTTCACCAAATTTTATTTCAATAAAAAAAAAACCTTGAAATTAATGATTTTAATCATTAGTCAATTATTTATCAAAATGATGAACAAATTCAACATTTAAGACAAATATTAAATTATAATAGTCTTTGTTTTATTGTAATAAATCTTCAATATTACCATTATTAACATTAAAAAAAAATCTCAACGCTACTCTTACCACCTTTATCAAGTGATGAGTCATTATTACGTACATAATTTTACGCATTACAACTTTATTCTGGTACACAACATATTATAGCTGCATCAATTAGTAATCGTCATATTTAAAACGAGTATGTATTTATCATGAAGAATCTTTTTTGGTTCGGTGCATTCTAAACATAAGGAAATTTACTAGTTTAGTTTTGCTGTTATCTATTTGAAAAAGGTGACCAAGAGATTGCATGAAGAAACAAATATTATCTCGTTGGGGTAGAAGTTAAGTTTTGATTCTCTTTTAGAATGTCATCATTTATCAAGAAAGAAAAAGTTTCATTTGTATGAAATAAATATATCAATACAGACTCCCTGTAAAAATCAATCTTCTTGTTTCATTTTCTTTTAATTTTTGAATATTTTCATTAAATTCAGAAATTCGTTGTTTTTCTTTCTTAAACATTTTCGTTCTGATAAAATATGATCATTGATGACAATCGAAGAGTTCAAAACAAATAATGGACATTTTGTGATGAAATAAAGTGTTATGAGAATAGTCACTCGAAGCCGACACATGTTGAAGTACCGTCTGTGTGGAAACCATTGTATTTTTTAATTATGTTATAGCTAGATGACTAAAAAGTGATTCTAGAATTCCTTAGAGATGATATTATAAACTTATTTTTTTTCCTCATTTTTGATTGCTTTTTTTTTGAACATTTGAGACTCACATCTATTTAGTATAATATATTTAGTTGTGAGATTTTTTTTCTTCAATATGATTCGAGATAAAATTCATATCTTTATATTTATTTTTACATATTTAGATAAAATACTTCTAAGTCGGCAGATTCATTTTACTGTTGACCTTGAGCTCGATTATGCCGTAGCACTATATTTACTCAATGAAACGTTAAATTCAACCTTTCATTTTCCTTTATCGACGTGTGTTTTATATATTTTATTCTTCTTTCGTACTCTATACAACGGAAAAAATGTTTATACTTGGTGTATTTCTTTTTTTTTTTTTCTTTCTTTTTTTTCTTTTTTTTTAGCTTAAAGACATAAATATACTAATGATCATTTTGACATGCTTAGTGACGTCGGTAATATTGGATGAGCATAGAGACAAAATGTTTATTATCAGTTAAGCAAAACGATAACAACTACGTCTATTACTGAATATTGTCATTTTGATTAGTATTTCTCTTCAATCACTCGATTTTTTTCTCTTTTACATAAGTAAAGAGAAAGAAAATGACTTGACGGCTTCAGATAATTATTGAAGCGAGACTCAAGCGCATCCACGTGAGACGAACGATTTGCTATAGGTGCAACGAGAAAGGACATTTACGAATAAAAAAATGCACTACTCAATGGCATTCATATACAATCATGTGTAATCCATGATTGTATCCGAATAATTATTATAGATAATTTAGTATAGAAAAAAAAAATAGGTTAGTTTGTCATCATGATAGGTTCTATAGAAAATTTATTTTCTTTTATTTGAAATATAGATAATTCAAAATGAATAAAATTTGTTTAATGATGAAGAGCCTTTTTTGTTATGCAGGATTGTACACGATATATATTGTGTATATAAATAATAATAACTATTCATATTAGATTGTTTTACTAGTCATCATCAATGAAAAAGGCGTGTGAATGAGAAAGAAAAAAAAACTTATTAATAGGTGAATATGATAACATTGAGATTAATATAGAAGAAAAAAATCTTCATTAGATGAGTATAATCCGTGATAAAGAAAATTACAGGTATTTATATTCTTTTTTCCGTTTTTTCTTTTTCTATCTTGATAGTAGTGCTCATGCATTCCAGATTTTCTTCCGATGATGTTTTCAGACTAGTCATTTAAATTATGACAATCACTATATGAATGAAACGTACCGCTTCCTCTCTATGTAGGCTTATCCGTAGTTCCATTACTTGATTGACATAGTTTTTGAAGACGTAAGAGAAGGAAAAAAACAAAATGAAGAATTGTGTGTGTATGTGTGTTTTTACTCTTGAATATGCCTCTGTATGACATGCAAATGAACATACATAAAAATCGTGTGACAACAAAGGTGAAATCATTTTTTCTATGTTAGTTGTATGCTAAAGAATAAAAAAAAACAGCGTAGTTTCATAATTATTTATTATTCTTATTGAATGAATATATAATCAGATCAAGCCATCATTGAGGAACAGTCAAAATCAATTTTCTAACTTTTCTTTTGATAAAAATTTAATGTAAGTAAATAAAAAGAATTATAATATCGTTCACGTGATAGATACTCCTGTTTATTTATTTACTTTTTTCGAATTTAATTTAAGTACAAAAAAGAAACCTCTCATATTGAAATACACTATATTAGATATATCATAAGAAAAAATTTAAAAAACTTGTTGATTTTGAAATAGTTTTTCTTTCAAAAAAAAGAATAAAAAATGACTAGATAGCCAGGTATTGTTTTCCTTTTTTTACATTATATAAAACTACCGAAATTTGTTTGCCGTTATTATATTTACTGGTCGACTTCTCTATTAACATTGTCTGACAAGTTTATTTTTTTTGCTGTTCTTCTCTTTTTTTTTTGTTCTCAAACAGCTCACATTTTTAGAAAGAGAAACAAATATGGCTTTGTTCTTCACTTAATACATTTTCATCAACAATATTTCACGAGTTGAAAGTGATCTTGGTTCAAGTACTTTTCTAACCATAAACCATATTTTTCATTAGAAATTATTCAATATTCGAAAATTATCAATATAGAAAATCATTAAATACGGCTCGTAAAGTTAATCATCGTTATTATACAAATATACCATCAAATATTTCAACTAATCCAAATTATGTTTTACATTGTACAAGTGATTTATTAGTCAATATATATATATACATACACTACATTTTTTATCTTTATGTTCAGTTATATTGATTATTCTTTTTAGATAGCTTTTGCATCTAAATCCTCACCTATTGATATGTCCTCAAAAAAACAGTCTTGGTCTAATTTTATAAATGACTCATCTACACAAATTATTAAAGATGAGACACTAGATTGGGATCTAAATGAAATTCCATCTCCACAAACAAATGATATTGATTATACAATTATTGATTCAAAAATTGATCCATTTCATCCTAAAAATTATCAATCAGTTCGAGCAACATCTATTGAAAAACCAAATATTGATAATAATAACCAAAAAAAGAAAACTGTCACTGTTAAATGTAAGTCATAGGTTCTTTTTTTTTTTTTGTTTTACATATTTAATTATTAAGATACCAACAAAAAGAAACGAAAGCCCTCTATTCATTTGAAATGTCTTTGATTTCCTTCTGTAAATTTATAAAGAAAAAGAAAAAAAGAAATTCTTTTTTTTTGTTTTGTGTCGTATTTTTCTCACGGTTTTTTTCTTTTTTCATGTCTCATGCGCGTATGTTTTGCCATTACTCTTGTCCTCATCACCTTCATCCAAACTATTATTTGTTCTCGAAGATGCCAAAGGAAAAGAACACGATGACTTGCCATATGCATCCATACCCGCTTTTGTCTAACTAGTCGTAAGCAAAACCAACGAAAATGTTGTTAGGCAGACTGATTCTCTTTTCCTCCTCCTCTCCTCTTTTTTTTTCTCTCTTCATCGTTTCTGTCGTCGTCCTTCCGTCCATACTTTATAACAGCTATGTGTTACTTGTGTTTGTATGCTCACACAACCCCCGTTTTTTCCCTCGTCCTTCTGACATCCAATCATCGATGTAGCAGAATCGTCATCAACAGCGTCCACTTTTTCTTTTTCCGTAGATTGTCTTGTTTTTTTTTTCTCTCTATTATGTATATTGAATAGGTAAATATAAAAGAGAAAGAATATAATCAATACATTTTACATCAATATATAAGCTATTGATTGAACCAGACACAGAAGAAAAATGTACGCACACATATGTGTTCATTCGTCCTATTTCGTCAGAGGTCATGCAGCCCGTGACCTGATAGAATGAAGAAAGAATAAGAATATTTATGTTGTTGTTCATTTGAGTAGCAGAAAAAGAAAACAATATTTATTTGATATGAGTTTAGTGTTAATCATATGTCCTGAAGAAAAACAAAAACATTTTTTTTTTTTTTTTTTTTTTTTTTCTAAGAGTCCCTATGAACTTCGACATATTGTGCCTTTTATAATATTCTATTGGATAGAAAATTTAATTTTCGAGATGAGTACATAAAAAAAGAATCAAGAACAAACTAGCGATCTATGAAAGAATGTAAAAAATTTTCTTAACGCTATAGATGACTCTGAATGCTTCGTATTTTGTTTTTTTTTTGCGTTCTTTCTTCTTTTTATTTTCTTGATTTTTCTCTTTTTTATTACTATTATTGTGTTCTTTATAATCATCTTACTAAATCATATGAATCTATATTGACCTTAGATCATATTGCCCTTGTGCTTTTTTTATCGCAAAACAAAAAAATAATGTTCAATAATTAGATATGTTGACTATGTCAGCATCAGGAAATACACAGAAAGATTTTGATCGTGGATCAACGTCAATACCTAATGGAACATCATCAACAATTAAACAACAACCATTTAGTCCACCACCTTATCATTCACTTTCAAACGGTTTTTTTACACAACATCATCAACGATCAACACCATCGCCTGATAATGAACAAATATCACCATTATCAAATAATCTAGTTGAAACTTCTTCAACATCTAATTTAGTTCCACCATCGGCAGCAGGTGGAGGTTGGTAGGAAAATTGTAGCCAAAAAAAGAAAAGAAAAATAAGACAGTTTTTTTTTTACTTATGAAAAAAAATAAACGACTCCTACTGAGTTGTTTTTTATGTGTGCTAAACGCTTGAATGATTAAACGTTTGGTGAATGAGGTAGGACATTTTTCTATCCGTGTTACATCGATAGAATCATACACTATACTTGACTTAATTCAAATAGCAATGTTACCTTCAAAAGGTTATTATGTTTTTTTTCTTTAAGTCTAATTTTTTCCAATTACAATAACGTTCACTTGCTCTTTTGATACAAAAAAATCCTTGCTTTTTTAAATAAAGTATTATTAATCAATTCTATTATATATAAGTTTTTATATAAGACATTTTTAATTAATAATATAAATTATTCTCTAAAGAATAACTCTTCTTATTGTTACTAATATATCGTAAAACTTATTTATTTTTTGTATTGTTTAGCTCCAGTATCTTCGGAAGATAAACGTCGTTGTGTATGTTTAAACTAAAATAAGTTAATTTTCTATGTAAATTTTGTTTTTTATTTAGGCTGTATGTAATGATATTGCTTCTGGTTATCATTATGGTGTATGGAGTTGTGAAGGTAAAAATATTAATGTCTCATATATTTGAAAAGATTTTGAACGAAAAAAATAATAATTTTTTTTTTAGGATGTAAAGCGTTTTTTAAACGAAGTATTCAAGGCACAAATGAATATATTTGTCCTGCAACAAATACATGTACAATAGATAAACATCGTCGAAAAAGTTGTCAAGCATGTCGTTTAAGACGATGTTATGAAGTTGGTATGACTAAGGGTACAACACGACGAGAACGAAAATATCGTAAAAAAGCTGTATCAGTTTGTAAAATTACATCAACATCATCAAATTCAAATGCTAATAATAATTCAATAAAAAATAATCAAGATCATGCACATTTAGTAACGACTACTGATACACCACCAACAACGACTGGAACACCATCAGTATCTCAAATAAATAATAATAATAATAATAATAATAATAATTTTTCATCACCACAAGTACCAACAAATAAGGTATTGTTAAATAGGTTGTTTGTTTTGTCTTTATAAATGTTGTCTTTGAATATTTAGACGACTTCGGATTCATCACGTATTCCAATTGCTCCAGCTGATTTTATTGCTACACTTTCTCAAGCATCTCGTCTTAATTTACCATCAAAAGCTGATACTAGTCGTCCATTAGATGATCAATATTTTCTTCAATTACTTGCAAAAATTTTCGATCAAGAGCTTGTCGTTCTTATTAATTGGGCTAAAGCAATGCCAGGTATTATTATTTTTTTATCTAAAATTCTTCTTCAGAACAATACTTTTGTTTTTTTCTAAATATTTTATTAGGTTATACTGAAAGTTTAACACTTGATCAACAAGTAACAATTATTGAACAGAGTTGGTTAGATACTTTACTTCTCGATATAATCGAACGATCATTAGAACGGAGCGATGACACACTTCATTTTGCGCCTGATTTTATTATTTCACGGTACAAAAAAAACTAATGACTGATTTTTATCATTTTTCTTTCTCTAAATATATACATATATATATAGATTTATATTTTCTTATCTTTCGTTTTATTTAGAAATCGTGCTTTATCAAGTCCAGGTGTTGGTGCAATATGTACAAGTTTATTTAATATTCTTCAAGCTTTTAAAGAACCTCGTACAACACATGAAGAATTTATTGCACTTAAAGCTGCAATACTTATTAATTCAATACCAGCAACAATAACAACAACAAAATCATTTCGTTTATTAACAAATCAAATATATCAATCAATACAATATGCATGCGATTCAAATCCAAGTGTTTATCAAGATAATTCTATTCGTCATTTTACATTATTATTACAATTACCACATATTAAAATGTTAAGTTCTAAATTAATAAGACTATTTTTAGATATGCGTGCAAATGATTTATTACCACAAGCTGATCTTTTATTAGAAATGCTTGACGCACAAGATCTATTCGATATAAATAATTGCTTTTTATCATTACATCATGATGGTAATAGTTTATCATCACAAACACCAAATTTTAGTCAAAATTTATCTTCTAATAATAATAATATTAATAATAATAATAATAATAATACAACACCAGTTATGCAATCAACAACAATGAATAATAATTCAAAAGTTCAATCTGATCGTTCAACCCCAATTAATTATAACAAAAAACAACAAGATGATAATGAAACACCAAATTCAGATGATCCAAATTGTAAGTGAAAAGCAAAAGACAAAATCAAAAATTTCATTTGTCTTTTACCATAAATATAAGAACAAATATTTTTTTTGATAGAATCAATTTCAGATATTTAATCATAGTTTATGAGCGAGAATGATGCTTGATAGAACTTCAGCTATATTTTATTCACTTTCTTTGTATATCTTCTCATTATGTAGGACTGATTGTCAGTCTATGGTAACGAAGATGTACTGTTACAATAACAGCAATGTTATCATATTTCAGATTGAAATATTGTTGCTAAAGCTCTTTTTGCCTATTTTCTTCTAATATTTACTTTGTATATATTATAGTTTATTTTTAATTAAAATACAAATAAGAAATCGTTTATTCTAGGTCAAATGAATTACCGAATGACATCGTCATCACCAATGGTATTTTCTGCGACAATTTCTGGAAAACGTTCACCATCAACTCCACCTTTACAATTTTATAAACAACCTCGAACTGAATCGGTCCCAACTCCACCATCGACTAATTTGCATTTCCCAATAAATAACTCACCTTATTAAATAATGCTCAATTAAAATCTGTATCTCTTATATTGAACGTGCCATAGATAGATTTACATACATATATATAAACAAAGAATTCTATTTTTCTCGTCAATTTACGAATGAAATTTTACAACAGTATTCATTTATTTGCTCATATGAAAAGAAAAAAAATATTTATCTCAATGCTCAATAATCATCATAGAACTCCAACTATTATTATTATTATTATTATTATCGTTCGTTATGGAACGTATGAAAAAAAAAAGTTTTGTTCTTGTTTTCTTTTTTTTTGTCATGTGTTGTGTAATATTCTTTAAAAAAAACAAAACAACATGTTTATATGTTTTTATGTTTTGTGTATTAAACCCGGTTTTTAACACCATCTCGGTGTTTTCCTTTTTTTTCTTTTCTCCTGTTTGCATTATTGTTTTCTATTTTTTTTTCTCTGTTTGTGATTATGTTGAATGCACGTGATGTAAGTTGAGTTGACAGATTAATTCGTTTGTATTAAAATGTTTATGACAGACTCGATATATTGATGACATTTGTTCAAATCCGATAAAAAAAGGATAGAAAAAACAAGCAAAGACGAGGAAATAAAATGCCTCAAAACAGAATATATTTTTTAAGTATTATTTATGAGGTTTTGTATTATCGCAGTAGAGTACTTAGTGAGTGGCATTAATTAATGCATTATATTCATAGCATTAATGCTTATTCTTTTTTTTTTTGAAATAACTGATTTAATAAGAATAAGTACCCATTACTAATGTGCATCTGGTACTTTTTTAAGTTCAAAGAAAGTTACTTGTACTATGCAGAAGAACTCATGAAATTATGGAAACGGTGATCGTCTATCTAAAAGTAAAAGGAGAATAGATTCATGATCATGATTTCGATAGTGGTTAGCAGATCAAACAAATTTTTATTCATTGGTATATCCAAGTTTTGAATGATGTTAATGAGAGTAGTACCCCCCAGAATAAAAGGGCATGCCATTATACAGTGTCTTGGCATATCGCTACTTTTTGGATGGCCTTCTATTGGGGGGTCAATTTTTGGCCAGTTTTTAATTAAAATAATTTAAAAAATTAATAATTAATTAGTATCTTTAATTATTGTTTTTTAGGTGTTTTTTGCTGAAAAAACTACCATTTTTTGTAAAAACTGTACTATTTATGATAGGAAAGGAAGGATTTCGCAAAAAAACATTAGAAAATCGGTTATATTTCCTTAATTATTAATTAATATTTATGAAAATTTCATTAATTTTGGAATATATTAATAAATTAGTACATGGCCTTCTAATAGGGCGTTTGAACTTTTGCTCGGACAGGGCCTTATACAGGAGGTGGCCTTCTAATATAGGGTGGCCGTCTATTTTGGGGGAGGGGGGTTAATAACAAAATAAAATAATGCTATATATTATGATGATCATTTTTTGAAAACTCTAGGAAAATAAAACTATATTATGACGAATTTCAAAAATTCATTGAAGGAAATATTAAAATCTTATTTATGCTAGATAATTCCTGAACAAATAGACAATAGTCTGTAAAATACAATATAGCAAAAGATTCATTAGCAAGTCGAAAGCAAATAAATGTCCTTAGTTGAAATACTTATAAGGTTTAGCTAAAACGAATGTAAAACATATAGGTTAGCATAATATGGAACATTTCAAGAAAGAATATAATTACATATATATATATATACATACATATACATATAACAAATCTTATGCCCTTGTTTATGACAGGCGATAATTAAGACAACGGGTGTTAGAAAAATGGTAAGCGGATATTTGTACGACATATATTGGGTTGTTCTCATATCATTCAATTGTAACCAATTCTATATATTAGTTGCCAGTAATCTCATTTCATTCATATATACACTTACATATATAACTAGTTAAAAAAGATCAATCAATAACTTTAATATTGTTTTGTTAATACAGTTAGTTTTGTCTTGCTTGTTCTTATTGGTACATGACTACTGGCATAGTGAAATGATGAAATTTTTTTTCTTATTTATTTATTTCGTTCCATTAACATTACAGAATGAAATTATTAGTCAATATAATAATAATTTTTCAGGTAGTTTGTTTTTATTTATAAGCAAATATATTACTCTTAATTTCTTTCTTATTTATTTATTTGTTTTTTTTTTTCTTTCATCAAGTCATTTTAAATTTAATTGATATTCCACAACTTATTGATCATGGTTGGATACCAGTGGTTGATACATCTAATACAACACTTACCGAAAGTCTTATATCAACGCTCGATATTGTTAATACAAATATTAATAATTTAACCAATCTTGCTATTCGAACACCATTTTCTTCGAATTATCAAAAAGAAACTTTTGTTGATATCAATATAAATTCACAATTTACAAATATTTCTAGTAGAGAAAACTTTGTTGTTTTTTTTGAATTCTTTTAAATATTATTTCTGTTCCTAGGATCTAATTTACTCAATACATTTATTCTTCTTGCAACATATCGTTCTGTTAGAGAATCATCAGGAACATTATTTTCTTTATTAGATAAAAATAGATTAGTCATATTTGAAATAATAATCAATACAAATATTACTTTAACTTATCGTTATGATAAAAAAGTAGAACAACTTATTTTTCATCACAAAAGATTTGTAGCTAATGATGGATTGTAAGTTGAATGTCAATATTATTATTCATTTATTCAAAAAAACAAAGTTTTATTTTAGATGGCATCAAATTGCTCTTCTATTCGGATTCGAATCGGTTACACTTCAATTTGATGATCGGTTAGATGATGAAATTAAATTAATGTTAAGTGCTTTACAAACGTCAGAAATATTCACCAGAACAAATGTTGCTCTTCTGGGTACAAATGATTATGAAGAATATATAAATGGTTCATATTTTAAGGTAAAGCTAAGAAACGATAAAACCAATAGCGAAATCAATTTGATTCATTTTTTTCTATTAGATATTTAATTTTGCAATGTAATATTTCTATTAAAACTATAACTTTCTATAAACAAAATATATGATCACACTTTCTTTGTAATCAATTTATTATATTTTCTTTTTGAAAAAGTTTCCTTAATAAACTTTAGTATAAGTAAATATGTTACATACACCGTTTCAACTCTATTACATTGAGTTCAACATAAACGTGATATTATATGAATTGGTTTTATTTTCAAAATAAATAATCGTTTAAAATTTCACAGATGATTCAATGGGTAAAAGAAATATTTTTATTGTCCTACATCGCTAAATAATGATTTACCTAGATGAAATCTTTTGGCTACTTCTTAATTGTGGACAAAATTTCAGCCCTCACCCACACTGTCGGCATGCTAATTGGTTTGATTTTCGTCCGCAATCAAGAAGACACGAATCTTTTCTTGTTTTCTTTTTCTTTTATAAATTTTACAAATGTGTAGTCATCGATTAATCTTTATAAAACTTGCTTTTTTTTATTATTAAGAAAGCAAGAACCCTAAGATGTTGTCAATAGTTGACTAATCTATAACACAGAAATAGTTTATTTTCAAGTACAATAAACCTGAAAGATAATGATGTTCGAATAAGTACTTTCATCCATCACTGCTATGTGTAGCATCTATTGATAAATTTATCAAAAACGAAACCTTGCTTGAGTGCTGTTTATTTAATCATATTTTAAAGTTTTTAAGTGTAACGAAAGAACTAAGTTAATCAAGTGATAATATATATGATTGTTCACTAAGATTCAAGATTATTATATTGATTAATCATATAAATGTTTGTTGCTGTTTAAAACTATATCATGAAATTGAACAATATTCCAATATGATAATAAAATATTCTTCATTTATTATTATTAGGGTGATATAAAAGAAATTCTTATCATTGAATGGGATCCATCGATAGATGAAAACAATATTGTACCTAAAACTATGAGAAGTTATCGTCAAAATCGACTACTTCATCAAAATGGACAACATTTCATGAATCCTTCAGTAAGTAAATTTAATTACATATGTGTATAATTATCAATTTGACTATTCAATATTATTATATATTTTATTCGAAAAGCTATCAAGACAAACAGAACAATTTGAAATAGGACCAGCAGGTCCACCTGGAAGACCTGGACAACCTGGTCTTAATGGACCGATAGGTGCATCAGGCGCTCCAGGTCATATAATTGTTATTCCAGTATGTATTTAATATTCTATTTTTCTTTTACTTATTTCAATTTTTTTCCATAATGTTAGTCACCCATTCATGATGGACATGATCCAGAGTCTTTTGTACGTGTAATGCAAGGAATAATTAATACGTATACAGTAAGTTTTGTAATTAGAAAAGAGAATGCTCTTCTTTGTAATCAACTTTTCACATAGCACATTCTAAGGGGTCAACCAGGTGCTCCTGGACGACCAGGTCTACCTGGTGTTATGGTAAATAGAACTGTATTAGCATATAATTTAATGTTTTTTTTCTTTGTGTTTCTCACCAAGGGACAACAAGGTTTAAGAGGCATCAAAGGAGACAGAGGCGAACGTAAGATATGCTATGTTATTAGTTTTCTACTTTTTTTTTTGCAACGATTGTTTGATTATTTAGCTGGACCAGTAGGACCCCAAGGTGCGACGGGTCCAGTTGGGCCTCCTGGATTACCAGGACCACAGGTTTGCTTATTGTTTTTTTTCTGGAATATTCTCAATAACGACTTGTTTTATAATGACATTTGTAGGGTCCGCAAGGTTCAACTGGAAGTCGTTAGTAAAAAATACATAAGATTGATAGAATTTATTCTGAGAAATGTTCGTATAAATTTATTTCTAGATGGTAATCAAGGCCCTCGAGGTCAAAAAGGTGCACAAGTAAATAAACAGCTGATTGTTTTTTCTTATGTCAGTTTGTTTTCTTTCAAGGGACCGCGTGGTATTCCGGGTATTCAAGGTGAAAAGGGTGATAAGGTAAAGTTTTCAACGAAAACTATAGAATGTATTGGTTATTTCCATGTAAATAATTTATATTCAGGGTCAAACAGGTCCTGTTGGTGATCAGTGAGTTGTAATAGTTGATGTAAAAAGAGATAAATTAGTATTTTATTGTAGAGGAGATACAGGTCCTATAGGCCTTAAGGTAAGTACTAATTGACATTAATTCATATATTAAATTGTATCATTAAGGGTAATAATGGTGCAATCGGACCACAGGGACCTCAAGGTTAGATACAATTCTTTTGCTGTTGTTTAATTTGATGTTATGAAATGATTGGTAGGGCTTGCGGGTCCCCAAGGTTTGACCGGTCCAAAAGGAGATACTGGGCTAATTGGTTTAACTGGTGAACAAGTCTGTATGAATAAATTTAAATAATTAAGCTATATCATTTCTTGTAGGGAATACAAGGTCCTCGAGGTCCGAAAGGTGATAAAGGAGATAAAGGCGAGAAGGTACATTGATTACTGAATTTCATTTATAGATTTCAAGTTTTATATTTTTTTTAGGGTGTTATTGGCTTAACTGGTCCTATTGGTCCAATTGGCCTTACTGGTTGGTAATGAATATTATTTTCAATATATGTTTTTTCAAGATTGTTTTTTAATAGGTCCACGAGGTCCACACGGAGAAGTGGGACCGAAGGGATGCCAAGGTATTCAAGGACCACAAGTAATATTGATTCATTCTATCTTTTGTTTATTGATATGTCATGAATTGTTTTTCTTTCTATCAAAGGGACCTATTGGACCTCAAGGGCCACAAGGCGACATTGGTCAGAAAGGTGAAGTTGGCGAAGTACGTATAACATTCATTCGAATACTATTTTATAATTGTCTTTTATTTGTAGACAGGGCCTAAGTGAGTATATACTATTAATTTTTCTATGAAATAGAATTAAAATTATATTTTAAAGAGGAGAACAAGGTATCATGGGCCCAACGGTAAATAATCGAATTGATTGGAGTGCATACTATTTTCATTGTACATAAATATTATTTTAGGGACCTAAAGGTATCACTGGTGAACGTGGATTGACGGGTGAAAGGTTTGCGTGTATGCATAATCGTCAAAAATTCTAATCAATTGAACTTTTGCTTTCAGAGGTGGACAAGGTCAAAAAGGTAAACAAGGATTAAAAGGTATAATCGGAATAACTGGTGATAAAGGAGACAAAGGTGATGTTGGACCACAAGGGTATGTATTCAAATTTTGAATTGTTCAATTTATCTTACTTTTTAAATTCTCTAGACCACAAGGTCCAAAAGGTGATGAAGGTCCTATCGGTTTGACTGGTATTCAAGGTGTAAAAGGAGAAAAGGTTATCTCATTGTTTGTAATTTATTTTTCAATAACACAGTTTTTTCTTGACATGATTTTATTAGGGAGAAGTTGGTCAAAAAGGTGATATTGGTATTCCAGGAATACAAGGAATACAGGTTTCCTTTTATTCGTTGTGATAGCTGTGAAACATTGCTTTTACTTTGATTGTTGTTTTTCCAGGGTCCAATTGGTAACACTGGCCCTATTGGATTAATGGGTCCCAAAGGTAACAAAGGTTATCAAGGGCAAAAAGGTGAAACCGGAGTTCGTGGAGAGACTGGACAACAAGTATGTAAATCATTTCAATAGCGTACTACTATAACATATATTATTTATTTTTCATGTTTATAGGGTGTTCAAGGAATAATAGGTCCACAAGGTATTCAAGGTGAGACAGGTCCAATAGGACCTAAAGGCGATCAAGGTAGAATTTGCTCATTATAGAAGAAATCTTAGAAACTTTTTAAAAACACTGTTTTAGGTGAAAAAGGAGACAAAGGAATTATTGGACCACAAGGTCCTGAGGTAAGCTTTATTTTCAGTAGTTTTAATATTATCAATAAATACTTCGAAAAGGGAAAGCAAGGTCCGATAGGATTTACCGGTGATAAAGGTGATCAAGGCCTAACGGGTCCCGTTGGGGAAAAAGGTTCGTGTCATAATATCAAATTAGACAGATAATTCTAATTGATAATAAAAAATTATTTAGGTGATCAAGGTGAAAAAGGCGATCAAGTAAATAGACAAATTTTTTTTCAAAATATTTATTAGCTTTTTTTTTATGATAGGGACCTCAAGGTGAACAAGGTATTATCGGTCCCATAGGAATACCTGGAGAAAAGGTTCAATATTCTAAATACAATTATTTCAAATGAATGCTTTCCTTTGTATAGGGTGCACAAGGTCCAGTGGGTCCAATAGGGGTAGATGGACCTCAGGGAGAAAAAGGTAAGAAGAAAGAAACATTCTATTTTTTCTTGTAGTATTAATTATATGAAAAATTCTTTGATTATATTTAGGAGATAAAGGTGATACTGGACCAAAAGGAATTCAAGGTGAAATTGGACCACAAGTAAGTTTATTCATTTTAAAATTAGCAAAACGTTATGTCATATTAAAATTTAGGGACTCAAAGGTGATATTGGTGAAAAAGGAGACATAGGACTGATTGGACCAAAAGGCGGTAATGTCAAATTATCTTACTTTTCATTGTATTGCTTCATAATGGTAAATTTATATCAATTGTAGATAAAGGACACACTGGAATTATGGGATTACAAGGTCAAAAAGGTGATACAGTGAGTAATTGTAAAAATATCATTGGAAGAAGCAAGTCTGGCCACTGTTATCTATTCTTTTTCTATTGTTAGGGTCCAATGGGCATAATTGGACCGCGAGGACCTATTGGAGAGACTGGTCCAAAAGGTGAACAAGGTGAAAAAGGTGAAAAAGGACATGATGGAATCATGGGTCAAAAAGTAAGTATTGAAAATCATGTTATAATTTCATATCTATTGAACTTGATATGTTTGTTAGGGAGACAAAGGTATCGATGGTATACAAGGTCCTCGTGGACAAACTGGTGAAAAAGGAGATGCTGGTGAAGTAAGTTAAATGAAATTTTATATGATCAACATAGCATTATTGTTTTCCTCTAGGTAGGTGAAATTGGTCCAAATGGTGAAAAAGGTGAGTTCAACTAAAAAAATCATTCTTGAACAAAAAAGAAAATAAATTTTGCATAAATGTTAAATTCTATTGCTTTTAGGAGAAAAAGGTAATCAAGGCTCACAAGGACCAGAAGGACCACAAGGTCCTCAAGGTAAACAAGTAAGTAAAAGTGATTGACAAATGTAAATTAAAACATACTATTATTTTTTTTTAAATTTTATATTTTTGAGTAGCCACTTCTGTGTAAAACTTTCTATTAAAAATTTCAATTTAATGTTTAGTATTTTATTTTAGGGACCACAAGGAATAAAAGGTTCAACCGGCTCACAAGGCCCAAAAGGTGATCAAGGCATTACGGGTCCAACTGGAGGCCAAGGACCAAAAGGAGCTACGGGCCCTGTGGTGAGTCTCTGCTTTACTTTAATATAAAAAACCTTACATCAGAGAATAGTTATATATATCTTTGAACTTTATACTCTCGTAAATATTCATTATGAACAAATCCAGATTTGAACTTAAAATTATTATACCCTCATTCATTTTCTTTTTACTATACAATAAGTTATACAATATACAAAAATAAAATATTAGGAATAATAGTTTATTTTGCACTTTATGATGAGTTTAATTATTTTCTAGATTGATATTTTTAATGTATTAAAACATTTCTTTATAAATATTGTTTTTCTCTCAGATCTTATGATGAATCATATACATGTCACTGTTGATTGTTTATTGTCGTATAAAATCTAGGATACTTATGATTAGAGAGTACATACGTGTTGAAATGCAAAAGAACATTCTATTCTATGTCTGTCTCCTTGCCTAATGGACGTGACATCAATATATTTTGTATGCATAAACATGTAAAATAAATAGTTTTGAGAGTTATACGTGACATTGAGTCAATGAAGTTATTATAAACCCCTCCCCATAATAGAAGCCCCTCCCATATTAGAAGCCCCCCCCCCTTATTAGAAGCCCCCTCTGAGATGAACAACGTGTTTGACGTATTAGAAGCCCCCCTAATTTTTCGAAAAAATTTTAAAATTTTCAAGATTTTTTTTTCGCATTTTCATGCTAAAACTGCTAAAATTTTCCGATTTTCAGGTAAAAAGTTGGCTGACTCTTATCAAGCTTAGCTAACATCTGAAAATAATGTCAAAAATCTTCTGGAAAACTCATAAAAACCTTGAAAGTCGCTAAAAACCCTTGCGAACCCTTTTTCCTGGCAGTTTACGAAATTTTTTTGAGACTTAATAGAAGCCCCCTCCAGAAGCTTCATATGATAGACATATTAGAAGCCCCCCGGGGGTTTCTAATATGGGGAGGGGTTTAGTTTAATCGTCTATGATTGTAGTCGAAAAATAATTAGAAATAAGATTAATGACTTTTACATTTTCAGTAACATTAACGAAATTAATTGAACTATTTCCTTTTTAGGGTGAACGAGGACTTCAAGGACAAAGTAAGCTATTTATTTGAATAGACAAAAAACCATTTAATTGTACGTCGTCTTATTCTATGTTTTTAGAAGGAGAAGCTGGTCCAAGAGGACCAAAAGGAAATACTGGACCTGCAGGTCCACCAGGACCAAGTGGTATGTAACATTTATGAAATACATATATCTTCATTTTTATTTCTTGTTATCAATTACAGGAGAAAGAGGTCCTAAGGGTGAACGAGGGCCACGTGGAGATCCAGTAAGTCTTATTTAAAATACATATTCATTTGATTATATCATTTATTTAAAAAAAAAGGGAGAGCCTGGTGACAGAGGACCACAAGTAAGCGCATTCAACTTCCAATTAATATGATAATTTTATCTATTTTTAAATATAATCATAGGGACCTTCGGGAACAAATGGTCAACCTGGAAAGTAAAGAATAAATTTTCTTTGCAATATTTTATTCTATTTGACATATCATATATTCTTGTTTAGTGCTGGACCACCTGGACCACCGGTAAAGACTTAGAGCATTTATCAAGTTTTTTGTTTAATGATAAATACTGATTATTTATTTTTCAAGGGTGTAGTTGGTGTAACAGGACCAAAAGGTAAATTCTTTTTATTTTATACTTAAAATAATCCCGTTACTTTCCTATCTAGGAACGGAAGGACCACGAGGAGCCAAAGGCGAGAAAGGTTCAACAGTATGTATAAACAAAAATCCTATTAAATTGTATTGATATTTATCTAACTTATTGTTTAAATCTAGGGTCCACCGGGTCCACCAGTATATTCTCATCAATAGTTAATAAACATGATACGATTTCTTTGATATCTAGGGTCCACCTGGTGATAGTCTATTAACAAGTGAACTTGCTTCAGATGATCATCATTCCAAAAAATTTGAGTGGCCGTTTCATAGATTACGTCGTTCAATAATACCACTTGAAGAAAATATTCATTTAAATTCTATAGCATTGCAATTAATAAATATATTAGAAAATATGACAAATCAATTGAATAAAATTGAATCACCAATAGGTCTTCAACGTGATAATCCATTTCAATCATGTCTTGATCTTCATGATCAATCAATGATAGGTAAAATAAAATCTTATATCAATTTTAAATAAGTGAAACTCGTATTTATTAAGGAAAATATTGGATTGATCCAAATCATGGAAGTACATTAGATGCTATTGAAGTTAATTGTATTATTGAAAGTGGTAGAAAAAAAACTTGTTTACAACCACATGATGATCAACAAAAACAAGTGAAAATTATTTTCTTTCTCATAAAGAAACCTTCCCATCTTGAAAATCACTTTTGAAATCGTACTCTTTTCATAAAGTAGATTCTCATGATGTATTAAAAAGCTCAAAAGGATAAGTGTTCCTAGCCCTTCTCCATCAACTTATAGATGTTGTACTGGAAATTTTAGCCTATAGTATGGTATGTAGAAAACAATCGAATGACGATATTTTTAAAACTTCATTGAAAACCTAGAGACTCTTACACTATTTCGAGTGTTAAAAGTTCATCAGAGTCTACCATATGGATACAGTTCGAACTCAAAATCGATTTTCAAATTAGGAATTCTTCTTTCGTAAGACTTTTTGATTTCAAATGAGATTTTTAGATTACTTATGGACCAATATCTCAAATACGTTTTTTACAAATTCTTTATAATCAAATCGAACAAAATTTAACTTATGAATGTAATGAAGAACCTCAAACAAATATTACACTTATATCTTTTGATGATATTCATTATGATGTTAATCAATTATCAAATATAATTATACATGATGAATGTCAGGTAAATTTAATTTTAAAATAAAATCTGTGTTAGATTTATTTGTTATAGAATCAACAGCAAGGATCGATCAAATATGTTATTAATACATCTGATAGACATTTGTTGCCTATTATTGGTATTATATCACTAATGAAAAATATACGTCTTAGTCAAGTGTGTTTTTTTTGATCGATTGATTTGCATTCCGTTTGAACGAAAGAAAAAAAAAAACAATTCGAACTTTTTCTTAATAAATAAAAAATTAGAAAAAAGAAGAATATAGATAAATTTTTATGTTTTGTTTCATTTAAAATTTTCTTTTCATTCTATCAAAATATTGAATTTTCATTAGTTAGAACAATTATCTTTCATTGTTTTATATAAAAAAATAAAATAAAATCTTCATCTTGACTTTATTTACTAAAAATTAATCGAATAACAAATGTATAATATACGTTATTATTTCGATAAATGTTTAAAAAATTAGTAAATTCATAATAAATATTATGCAAGAAAATCATGCACATGTTAATATAGTTAAATCTAATGCATTAATAAATCATGTTTTTTTCCTAAAGGTAAAACGGATGTATACTAACAAAAGCAAATAATAAAATAAAAAGTAATATTTGTATAAATGTAAAAAGAATGATTACTTGTTAATTGTGTCCGGTAGACTAAAAGCACATGATAAACTCCATGAATAGATGATCAACGATTTGGTTTAAGTTATTGAAGAAACTATAATATTTAACAACAATTTATACCAAAAGATTCTAGTTGAAACAGAAATATATCCCCCTGGCCAAAATAAGTGGAACGCAGTATTTTTTCGATT